TCACATCTATGCGCGGCCCATCGCATTGCGCTCGCTCCTTTCGCGAGATATCTAAACATCAAGGCGCTTTACAAATCCAAGTACTGCAGATGACCATGGTTGGTTAATTTCGAAACACTAAGCCCTTGTCCTACTCCACGAGCAGTGATGTGACGATTTGCTTCGGTTAACATTTTGAGTTGATCGTTTAGGCTGATGATAGTCTCCCTAAGGGTTGCCGGTCTTCGAGGGCAAATTCACTCTGTTTGGATTCCGTAGACTAGTCATGCACTGTACGATCCTCTAGGGCATGGTCTACTCGAACGTCATATAACTTTCATGCGGCTAGAGCCGCATTCTAGGCCTTGCAGTAGAAGAAATACTTCAGATGCCGAAAATGCGGGCAGTGGTTCTCCATTTTCATACGAGTCCTGTACAGTCAAACTTCGACAAATGTTGGCAGAAACTTAACAGTAATATAGAGGAGGATCTACCCTTTCAGAAAACATATAACTTTATCAGGTTGGGTCCTTGATCTTTTGTACAACGGTTGATAAATCCGAGGTATCAAAAATCGGCGGGAACTTTTCGGACACCCCAATATGTTGCACGAAGCCCGGTTCGCAGCGACTTTTATTGTTGTAGTTGTCCCTTGCTACTTGTCACAACTCAGTAAATTGTATCGAACAGTCGATCCGCAGAGCCGTGTACGGTCGCGGCAGCGATGCTTCAATTTCAAAACTATAGTGCTAGCAATGATGCCTCTGGTCCTAAAGGAACCTTTTTGAAAAGTTGGTAAAAATTTCGAAAGTAGTCAATAAACATAGGAAAGCCTAAAAACATCACTCAGATCGCTCTGGTGAAGAATGCGTTCGCCCCGTTGATGGTGTTCAAGTTCGCCTCCAGAACAGCTGAAGTGGCAAAAGACGAGAATATTCTCTGCCTCTGCAATTTTGCCTACGTACCACGAAACATTTCGCAGGCGTTTTCTGATAGTTAGTAAGTCCCTTTGATTTGTATTTGATCTCTATTTCGTGCTGTTTTCACATTAGTTTCATTTGGTTCGAGTTCTGACATATACACGACGGTTTGCCTCAAAAAAACCTCATAAAGAAAGCTAAAAGGGAATTTCTGTTCCTATTTCTCTACGGAAAGAAATCCCAGGTCAGGGAATGTTTCCTGGATTGTCAGCTAGTTCCCAATCGCTGAATGGGGATAGGGCATACACTAACACCTTTCTAATATTTACTGACATTATCAAGTTCCCTCAGACTTCACCCATCGTGGAAGGTCATACATTAACTAGAAGCAGAGAACACTCCATTTCAGCCATTTGGGAAACGGCCTCGTCGATCGAGCGCTCGACGAGCTTGTTCGGCCGTATCGGTCTTACGGTATGCGAGAAGAGGAGATTGTTTGCGTCAGTGCAATGATCGTTCTGAATCCTTGTCAGTGATATCTTCTGCCATATTCTGTATGAATGAAGTGCATATATCGATAATATATTAGCTTTTTTCCCTTCGATTCCATTAAACGCCAACATACTGTATCTTCGTTATTGACAGTGGCTCGAGACCTGTCGTCGGAGGCATTTGACAAGATTCTAGAAATGCGAAACAAGATCGCGGACACTCTATACATGATTGTCAAGGAAGCACGTATCAGCCAACATCCGGCAATTTGCTTTGGACACATCCTACTGTCATTGCCTATAGTTACGGTCAGTACAGTATTCTACCGTAATTTCGGTGCGGCTAGTGACAAATGGCACTCGACAAATTTTGAGGTAAAATTTTTCCAATTGCTCAAAAGGTACGTTTTTCAGATGTTAGCCAATGCTATGTGCGAAAATCTACAATTCGCTCAAGTTTTCTCCAACGCCGGGGAAATCCCGCTACTCACCGACCTATTCGGGTAAGTTACGGAAACATCGCGCCAATGGAATGACTATGCTTTGCTTTTCTTCACTGCGACTAACTGCCACATACTACTTTTGCCAATAAGTCTCGCTTGCTCCCCTCAGTAACTTTACGGTGAGGGACATTGCATTCTATGTTCTGCACAGCTTCACCAGGGCATAGGGCCTTCTTAGACTTAGCTAAACGACCAAGATAGACTTTCCCACTCAAGGAACACGGGCTGAAGTCTCTACTCTGGTGAAGCCACATAACCATTGGAAGTCTTGGCTAACCGCATGCTGGCTGCTTTACTCTGTCAGTCGCTTGAATTTATCGAACCATAAACCAAACATCATTCCTATCCTTCAATTTTAGTGGAACGCCTCGCAATACCTACAATCGCCGGCTTGAGGGGTACGTGTTTCAACTGGAATACAAAAAATTGTTAACAAACCTTGAATTGCGTGTCCCAACGGCCAAATAGTACGAACCTTACCTTGTCGCAATGCATGCTGTTTCCTGCAGCTGCTGGGCAGTTCCTTTGTTCTAGATAGAATGGTGGACTTTCTGGACTTCGCCTGTATGGTAGTGATTTAGATGTTTCCCGGTGGAGCCGTTTTCAGAAGAGGAGAACGCAGCGGAGATGGAGAGTTTGTCGCTGACCAAAGAACAATTGGCCGGTGGACTCTGTGATAAGCAGACTCAAACCGATAGGGCTGCATTTGCTAGAAGAAAAACGGTACTGTTCAATTTTACCTTTTTAGTTCTCCCTTACTTTTGATGTTTTCATATGCTACTTGTGTACACTACTGGACTGGGCTTCGCGCCTGATGCCAATAACAAATGCGTAGGATGTCCCGAAACTACGGACTTCACGCAGTCTTGAACACGTTTCATCTGTTTTTCCTTGCAGAAACGTCCATACTCGATGACGAATCCGGAAGAGGACGAACCGCAGTCTTTCAAACTGCTTCAAGCGCCAGGAAACTACACATTAACAGAGATGTTTGATGACCTGAGATGTGTTGGGGTAAGCTTTTAGCAGTTTACCCGAAATTTTCGGTTTCGTTATTCAAAGTGCGGACTGTGTGGATAATACAATTAACATTTGGAGAAAACCTAATTGTAGTGCTCCTAGAACTTGCTCCTTTATCTACAACATGCCTGGTGCAGTAGTAATCCTTGGTGATTTCTGTGAGACCCTTCTTTGCATCTGCGAGATTCTGGAGCCTATACTTCATAGTTAACAAAAGTTTTAGTGGCGGTATTTCCATTGTTGACTATCCCTTGGTATAACCTACAGCGCACTTGTCTCGACGGGGGCGGTAAAGGTTTGATTAACTCCAGCTCCGGAAGTCCCCGAAGTAATCATTCCATTGCTCAAAATAGCAAACAGAGCCTGGTGTCTTCCTAACCTGATCAAAGCTCCACTAAAGCTGACCTACGGCTACGCTTCAGTGAGGATGGACGCATCGACGGGTGGGCCCCTGAAGTATGGCAGAATATGGGTATTGTAAGGGTCCACACCGTTGGTGGGGAGAAGTGTCGCACCTGAATGCTCTGAGGGATAGCGATGCGCTGGAGCCCACCACGAGTTGGGAACAAAGGTCGTTGGTCCCTGATGAATGCTTCCTGACTGCAAAGATAAAGTAGATAATTAAGATCTCACAACTGAAGTATACTTGCGATAATACGCGCATATAACGAACACAGATCATCTGCATAAATTCTGTAAACGACCAACACGACACGACATACGACATAATAAGTACGACGTGCTTGCGACAAAGAGAAGAGATGAGAAGTGCGATGAGGTAAAAGGAAGTGGGAAGGATTGATCGGTAAGACAGGGTCGGGATGACGCGTAAGCACCGCGTTTCTCAGGCACTGACGGCAACGTGGGAGTGAGCTCTAGAGACGGCGCTCCGTAGGACAACGAGGTAGCGGATGAATGACGGATTGATTAATGCGTAGCCAGCTCGGTAATTTTCCCGCACTTCCGCCGCTTTCCTCTATTTGAATCTTATAAAGGGCGGCGGCCGTCGACTAGAGCACGGTTTCCTACCGGAGCACTGCAGGGGACGTAAGTCGCGACAGAAGTCATTAATAGTAACGGAGAGGAGAACAAATGGATATCAAAGCGTAATCTGGTCAGCTAGACTGAAAGCAGATCAACAGCCTAGGGCGATCGCTATGAAAGCCAGATTTTGCTTGCGGTCAGTAGTAATCTTCAGAAGCGTGTAAACCGAGGGTGAAAAATAACGCAGTTAGCATCCAATCAAACACCGTCTATGTTCCTTTCTGCATTTTGATAGTACTTTTTCTAGGCGGAGCAAAACTCTCCAGTGTCCAACAACAGTCCTTCCACGTCCAATGTGATCACACCGATTGAGGGTCTGCAACAGCCGATTGCGAATTGCTCAACGTCAAAGATCTGTGCCGAATATCCACCGCAAATAGTCCCAATTCCTGCGAATAATTATGCTTACCTACCGCCTGGAGGCAATACCCAACTATCACGGACGTATTCAAATCCTACTATACCAACACACTCGCTTCCGAATAATATCCAACAGGTACGCTTCATTTCTGCTTCCTGACATAATCTAAAAAACAATAGTTCAGGGTGTTGGACAAGTTCAGCGTAGAGTCACCATAACCTTATAATTATTAATAAGAAAAAAGTAGCTGGTTCCAAGATATTTAGGGTTTATCATTGGCTTGACTATGTCGGTAGGCCAGAAAAATTCATAATTTCCAATCGAATTTTCCCCAATTAAAGGCATTTCGCTCTGACTTTAAATATCAGGGGACGGCATATCCTGATGATTGCCGTACTCATCCCGCCTCCCCGCCAATCGATATTACGCAATATTTTTCGTCGATTGCTCTTCTTTTCTAATAGATTTGATCGTCTTTTTTCTGTTTCTTTTTCGTTTTTATGTTTATCAGACTTGATTGATTAGAATGACTCCTCCCATATTAGCGGCGATCAAGCCGCATTGGAATTGAAGAGAGCGGCCAGCCAATTCAAATAATTAAAGGACTCCCTACCTCATGAATTGCGCGCTCCAATCTTCCATCGCAACCCTGCGACACGCGGTGGGTGCGGGGTGCGCGACGCCGTTTTCGGGGAAAATTTCCGGACCCAAATAACCATCCCTCTTTGGCACTGTATATCTCCGAATTTCTCCTACTAAACGAATGTCGTACACTGATGATGGCCGTAGACTTTTCCGAACGTAAGTAAAAGTTGCATTGAAGTGGAGTAATCGTTGTTCCAAAACCAGGGAGTTTGATGCTACTATTCTATGATCCAGTTATGGTCTATTTCAACTTAGCAAGACTTCTGTTGGGATCAATTTAAGTGTGTAAGAAAAGTGAATAACAACGGTGCTTGTCCCATTACCCTAAAATTCCATAGATAAGAGCGGTTTATTTTACCGGTGAAAAATGAATTCGAATGAAATTGAAATTGATCGCAGTCACCCTCTAACTTGATGGATGGATAAATAAAAATTCGAGGAAGAAGTTAAGAAGGAGCTCCGCTCCTCAACTCTAAACCTCGCCCATTTAATAAACAATTCATATAGAAAAATAGCAATTCTAACGAATCGCTATTTTTCTATATGACTTGTTTATTAAGTGGCGGGGTTTGCAGTTAAGGGGCGGAGCTTCTTCTAAACTTCTCCTCCGATTTTTATTTATCCATCCATCAAGTTAGAGGAGTGACTGCATTCAATTTCAATTTTTTCCAATTCATTTTTCACCGGTAAATTAAGCCGCTCTTATCTATGGAATTTTAGGGTAATTTTAAGGCCCATGTAATCATGCAGCAGGAGAGATCCTATGCATTTCTTTTCGAGCATTTCTGCTGATATTTCGTGACAAAACTAGCCTTCAAATTTCTTAATTTTGACCGAGAGTTTAACAGCTTCTCTGACAATACAGGATTTGTATCTTCGAGTTCTTTTATTCTCTTCTCCGGATCTACCCTGTAGTTTGTTCCTTCATCAAATGTAGCTCCAGATGGAAATGTCATCCTCCCATCTTGGAGTAACCTTTTTATCTGAGCAATATCTGCTTCATATGCGGATGATTTTGCTTTCAGGTTCAACATCCGATCTCACCAACGTACACTCCTTTTTTGTATCCTCAACAACCTTTCCAATACCCAAATCAATGGAGTAATTTCAATAATGTGTGAGGATGGGAAGCGATTTTGTGTATGGTCTGTAATGAAAAACATTTAAATATTGCCTCCGTTTGATCTTCATAGATGTGCCTTGAAATTTTGTATTGAATTGTCGTAATGCATAATAAAATTGTATCATTTGTATATAGTAGTTTCCAAGTATAAGAAAGATCAATTATTTCGGGAAAGGGCATTCATCTGCATCAATGAAAAGCTGGAACTGTAAAGGTGCTGATGTTGTTTCTTCCGCTTTACCGCTGGCTACCTCAGGATGGCACCTTGCGATCCTCTACGGCTCCCGGTATACCGATATTTGCAGTAGCCTGACGACGGACCTTGGCCAGTCGTGAATTGACTTCTTCACGACTATCGAGATCCCCTTTGAACACGTCTAATTCCTTTTTACCTTCACTACGGCAGCTTCGACAAACTTCTCACAACCTTTAGATGGCTAGGCCTTCTGAGGCTCATGTCTTTCATCAGCAAATGCTTTTGTCTCTGCTCTACTACACTATGGAATTCATTCACTATTTGATAACGTTAGGCCCACTATTCACGTATGGATAGCCCGTTGTTGCACTTCAAACAGATAACAGATAGAACCTCTAAAAGAGGATTCGAGACAATTAGAAGAACTGAAAGAAACTCGTATTCGTGATGTGGATAGCACTGGTACCACGCTCTTTTCAGAGGGGCCCAAGACTTTATCCTCTGTCCTTTATGCATAGCTGCTTACATTTAGCTCTCATAGTTTGAGGTTTGAGGAGGGTGTGAAATTTAGAAAAAGCTTTCCGGAAAATTCATTTCATTGAGTATCAAACACACTCAAAATCGGATGGAGCCTAGGATTAGTACCATTTTACAATCAGGTACATTTCAGAGATTAATCATCTTGAAAATTTTCAGGTTTCTCAACTTTTCTTTATTTGAACATGTCACAATCAATCTTCATATCAATATTATGTATAATCGTAACATGCGATTAAATTAAAGAACACCTAGGATTATACAGTATACAGCAAAGTTTGATAATTGTGAAATATTCAAGCTGAGAGTTCTGTACTTATAACTTACTAGAACTCATGGGCATCATCGACACGTGTCTAAATACTTACTGAGCAATGAAATGGATCGAGGTAAGATTATCCGTTAAATGAAGAATTATATGCAACTATTCAGCATCGACTGCTCGGGCTACATGGCAGGTCAGTTGAGGTGAACCGGCAGAGCAGAATTCATCAGCTGACGATTGGAATACGGCACTGCCTTCCACGCATGTTACAAGGTATCTGCAAAAAGCATCAGATTCAAAACTCCAAGAAAAAAAAAACCAGCTCAGACTACCAGCAGAGTGAGAAACCGAGGAACTGCTGATGGATAATCTTGGAAAGCTCTTCCTACAGCTCAGCATGGTTCTTCCAAAGAACGCCTGCGAAAAAATGGCAATAAATGGAACTCACCGGGTGGCTCCATGCTTCTTCTTCAATGCGGCGACAATGTTGGTGCGTGATTCATTGGCTGTAGTGCGAATTCCCTATAAAAGAGTTATTATGAAGGAAGTCTACAGGTTTAACGTTCAATAGGCTACAATTGATGTCAGCAGTCAGTAATGTCAATGGGCCGCATGAGCTCCTAACGGATCTAATACTTCACGACAATCTTCAAGCCCACTAGTACCGTTGAACCTCCGAACAGGACTACCTCCTGCAGTTTACAGGCTCAGGAACAATACCCTCTACGACTATTGAGGGAGTCCCCGAAAGGCACCAGATAGCTATACCGAAGACGTTTTTGTTCTGAAGCTATGTAAGAGCTCCTTCTCATTTAAGTCCATCAAAGCCTCTTGAACCAGGAAAGGTCAAGGATCAAACACCCGTTCAGGTCCCTGCTCAAACCATCTTTGTGGTTTTACTTGCTACGAATAGTTTCATGATCCTTGTTAACGCTACCTTATTCATTAGTGGAGGTATAGTCGATTGATCAGCACGGGTCTAACTCCCATCTACTAAATATAATACAATGCCTGAGGGTAAGCTTGGGACAAGTCTAGAATACCGGATGTACCCTTGCTTACGTGCTTAAATACTATAATCTCTAAACAACGGTCATTTTCGAGACACTTACGGAAAGAATCAGCTTCTTCAGCTCAGGGTCCGTGCAGGTGGCGTCTCCTTCAACAGCTCTCTTCTTGCGACCGCAACCACCGCCACCACCGCCACAGCCGCACGGCGGAGGCGGGAACTAAAATAAATAGGAATGGACTATGCAAAAAGTATTGTCAGGTTTCGTCGGTTGAGTTCGTTTTATTGCCTAATAGATCCTTTCTACTTAGAGTCAATCAAAGTATACTAATGAAACTCACCGGTTAATTTGACTTCTTCCTCATGCCCCTCCCTCCACACCCTAGAGCGCCTGTCTATTACTCTCTTGACTCTGTTTCCACTGCTCTCTCTTTTTTCGACGATTCAAAGCAATTCTACTATTGTACCGATTTCAAAAGGGAGAACGATTTCGATAGAACCATCTATCCTGGTAAAGAAGCCCTTGCCTGAACTGCTCAACAGCAACAACATTAGCTAATACATACCCGAAGGCTTGGGATGCTGAAGCAGATTCGTTGGCAGCCAAGTTTTGGAATGCACGACATGTCCTGTAAGGGTTCGCATGTTTTGAAATGTTCCAGATAATCCGAAAAGGTCATTTCTTCTCACCTCGCACCCACAGCTGCATCCTCCGCCTCCACCCATTGGGAACAAAATGGCTGAGGTTCCAACAACGAGCGATAGCAGTACAATACTTCTCTGAATGCTTCTATCGATATTTATGAATTGAATACGTATGGATATTAATGCAAAGTATATCAAAAAAAGAAGAATACAAAGACATTCCCCAATATAGGGCTCTCAAAGGTAAAAAATTAGGATGACTAGCAGCTTTCTGCGATAAAGCTCACCATAGTTATGATGGTGGACAGAGAAGAATAGCTGTACGTCACGTCTATTTGGCACTATATATACCGTTCCGGGATGGGGTAGCGCTACGTCAGTGTGGGACTGGTCGCACGGGCGGGGATAAGAGGCGGGTTGTCTGTATTCTGGACACGACTGCCATACCAGTAACGCCCGCAAGTTAATTGCTTTCAGCGATGTTGCGTCATTCACAGATATCTGTTAGCTTAGTAAGCCGAAGGGTTAGATCAGCTTCATGTAGCTATTCATTCTGCAGCTTTTGGCTGAGATGGTGGATGAACCGTGTAATACGAACCCATCACCCTGTTGGCAACTGTAACCGTACCTCAACAATATTCCTACTATAAGGATAATTATAAAGTCCTTGGCCTTAATCAATCTTGCATATGGGATAATTCTCCGCTTTCGACTTCGGACTTCAGTATTGTAGTAGCGGTATGATGGGCCTAAACAATGACTTGCGGAAACCACCAGCCGATGGACATGCCAGTGTTTCCATCCCCCAAGACGACTATGGTACTGAATATCCCATTCCGAGGATTAGAAGGTTTGGTTGGCCTCAGTATCTACCTAGACAGGAATCGCCCATGCGTGTGTGACATTGCGCCACCTGCCAACTACATCACTTTTACCCTTCCTCCAATTATGAGAAACCATTGAACTGTAACTTTTCAACTTTCCATAGAAGCCCCCCCCCTTCACTTCACCTATGATGATGTTACACAGGATTACTTGTGACCTACCCTGTAATTTTTCGTCCATCTGTCAACTGGAAGTCAGGGAATCTTGTATAGGAATCTTGCTGGGCTTGACGTCTTCGTAAGGAGGGCTTGTAATGTGTGTATGTGAAGCTGATGTTAATTCCAAGACGTCTAAAGGCTGAGTGTTGCTTACGGATTAAAAAATTTATGAAAAACTATCGAAACACACAAAAACTAAAAAATCTGGAAGGAAATAAGCACCTCAGAATAAAAGGAAATTCAACCATAACGACCACTTTTCCATGTTGAAGCTCTACGGCTCGAAAAGTACGGAAATTAGTCGGATCAGCAACATAGGCCCAAAATCGAATTTAGCCCTTTTAAAATGGAAAGTGTCGGCAGTAAAAGCCCACTTCATTGAAATAACCACTCCCATTTCCTTGCCGTTACTCTGCATTATAGCCTCTCGCTGATTTGAATCTTTGCAGCAAGAGGCTACCCACCAGAACAACGGCCAGAGATATGAGTAATCATCCTATGAGGAAAGAGAACTTGCTAATTTATACCGTTCAACATGATGGTAAATTAAAATGTAAAAAGTCTCCCAAAGATTTATCAATGAGAGGTCTACAATATTCTCGAGTACCACGATCCATACGTAAGCTGTCGACGAAATCACAACTGAATGATTAATTTGTCATTATGCTTCGCATGCGAGCTACAATTAAACGATCGCCACAATCCTGTATCTTCAGCTATGCTCACTCTGACGTCTTCACTTAGTCTTATCCCATCACATTGTTGATCAGTAACTATTAGCCGTAATGGTCTACTCCAGCCGCCAACGAACAAACTGCATTCCATGAGGATGACGAAATTCGTTCGCATGCTTAATCGAAGGGGAAATCTACTCCAGTATGGCGGAAGTCACGCTAATGGTGAAAACACGAAACTACCAAAACGAAAGTGCTCCTGATGACACATATCCTATGTGAGTCATCGCTGCCAATACAACATCCAAAGAAGTCATCCTGAATGGTGATATTTTCAATTTTTCTTTTTATTTTCTCAAAGTGGGAGGTCTCGAAGAATTGAGCCTTCTGACGTTGATCGATCCGGTTTCAGGGACAGGCCCAGGCATCTGCCGTTCAGGATGCGTTTGTAACCTATACAATGACTTGCGATGTCCAGACGATGTTCCCAAATATCTGATAAGAGCTCTGCTACAGGAACGCCGGTTCAACTTCCCGCAAGCTATCAGTTTACCAGCATAAGGGGCTCTGGGAATGAATTCGGAAGGGAACGGTCAATTTAGCATTTCTTTGCATAAGCACTATTCAACGAGAGATATCTCTAACGGGGTGGATAACTGAAGCCAATTTGAGAAATTTTTGTAAACTCGCTATGAATTTGCAAACCGTGTTATAGTGGAAATCCCCCACTACACAGACTAAAGATAACCTATTATGAAACTGGACGATCTAAAGATTAAACTGGAATCTTGAGAGTCGGCTATAAAAAAGCTGTTCATGGAATCTCCCATGTCATAAAATCAATCGTAGCGACATTTATCCTGATCTTTCCAATCATATTTAGTAATTGTTCATTCCTATCGACAGCTAAGTGGATCTAGTTTACGGTGTGGGTTTCGAGAGAACGAACATATCCGTTGTCTACCAAACTGAGACGATCTATACCTGTTTAGTAGCTGGTATGCTTAACTAGATATCTC